TCATAAGGAGCTCCTCATTTTTTTTCTTTCTCTGTGGTCAATTTGTTAAGATGTAAAATCAGAAAGATGAGTTATCAAATTCAAATTTGACATTGGGGGAAGAAAGCCCGAGATATGTAGATTTTAACAAAAGTGAGAGAGGTGCATACCTAACTCGAGATTGCCGGAAGTCATGGCTTTTGACTCAATTAATATCACCCACCGGACACAATTCCATAATCGCTGGTGGGCCTCTTCATCATGTAGAGAAAGTATTAACTCGTGATTTTGGTCCTTTAACACATCAAAGGTTCTCTCTTTCCTTTTATAGATGTAGCAGAACTGTAAAGTTAACAAAGATTTTGATGACAAATTTGCCAATTAACCCAACAGGTATGAGTGTTTTTCTCAAGATATTTCAAATCGAATTGGAGGGAGCATACTGAGTTTTTGTTTCCTAGCACTTACCACTGGCCCTGGCTACATTTTGGGAAACAAATACAAAAAACAAAGGGAGAGCAGTCTTTCGCCGGCCATTGCAGCTTAGTCTTCCTCTAGAAGGCTAAGGTTAAAGGGTTTTGATAACAATGCCACTAAAGTGAGGGACTTGCATTGTGAATTCGTAAGGCTTGGAATATCTTTATTTTAAAAAAAAAAATAATTGAGTATAGTATAATATATGTTGGCGTGAATGAAAAACTATATATTATTTATATATGTTTATAATAGAGTTGTGCCTTTTGACTTTAGAAGTAAGCTAGCATTTATAAACAATTGCTAGCACTAAAAAGCAGGGAATCAATTGTTTTAATGCTAAAAAAAATTGATCCTCGTTATCTATATTTTAAGATTTTTTTTCTTGTAAACAAGAATTGAAAATTAATTTTTTTTATATGTTGATTTATATACATGTTTTATGCTTTATAGAAACTAAATCATTGAATGAATATCAATAGCAAACTAAAACAGTTTAGAAGTGTTCCAACAATATCAATAGCCATTAAAGTCACTAAATTTAAATAAAATGTCAAATTTAATAATCTTGATGATCATTGACATTGATAAAGCGTTAGTATTGTAGAAATCCCTAATTAATTATGAGAGAGAGAGAGAGAGAGAGAGAGAGAGAGAGAGAGAG